AATTATTTTCAGTTATTTTATAAGGGAGATCTCTACTAACACCATCCTGCTCTCCAGCAGTCAGCCAGCACCCCTGTACTCACTGAGTAATCCCAGTTTTCATTGAGGTTTCTCCCTCTACTTAGATTTCTTTCCCTCTCCTGGGAAAATTTTTATTTTTGTACTCCACAAATCTGAAAAATGAAAAACAGACAACAAGAGTGATTTAGTGGTTTAAGCATCAGACTAGGATTCTGAGAGATGAGGGTTCCAATCCATGCTCAGTCACACTCTTATGGCCTCAGAGGAAGACAATGGCACACCCATTCCAAAGAAATCTTGCCAAGAAAACGTCATGATAAGTTTGCCATAGGCTCACCATAAGTCGGAAGACACATAACAACAACAATTTAATGGAAATGCCAAGGAGCCACATAGGTCAGAGTCGACAGTACAGTAAATAAGTCAGAACTGGGTTCTGTCAAGTAGAAAGTCTATATTCCAGGTTCATTTGACATGTTCTGGTTTCTTGCAATAGCTGAGCATTGTGATCAAACTCAGTCTTGCTTGGGAACAGAAAAAAACAACATTGATCTACAGTGTGGGGCAGTTCTATGCAAACATGCAACTTGCACATGGGAAGACTAAAATGGCAGGCAGCTTCAGGTGTGTGGTCATCTTTAAAGATCTTTCTGCGTTTATGGTCTTCTGTGAGTTTACAACCACATTCAGCTGAAAGCATTTACAGACCTCTTGCAATGAGGAACTCACTTTCATGACTGCATCTGGCTGAACTTGCTTACAACCTCCTGCTCCAGCTGACCTTCATGTGCAATGCACAAAAATATGCAGAAGATCTACAAAAGAATTGGACACTGGAATGCCTTCTCCCCTGCCATATTTTTAATCCTCACAGGCTGACCACCTCCATAAGGCTTATGCCTTGAGAATGTCCTACAGCTCTGTATCAGTGGTCTACAGCAGTAAAACCAGAGAGCAGAGTTCATGATCATCCTAAAATGGACAGGAAGAAGGGGTAAAATTTCAAGTGGCAAAGCATAATAATTTAATAGTGGCAACTCCAGGTTTTGGAGTGGGAGTTGGCCACCACTTTTGGATTTTTGTGCCTCTTTCTATGGACGTTATCACA